TATTTTTAGACTGCCTACTGAGGGCTGTGTTTCGGCACTATTCGGCAGGAGCACATTTGAGATGTGCCGTCTTATTAATATTTATGTACCGCCAAACTCGCTACGAGTGTCGTCATCGCTTGGGTTATCCCGAAGAGCGATATATAGGTCAGGTTACACCGTTGAATATCCTATTATGTTTAGCTAAAGCGTGTGGACTTTGGCATGGCATAGTAGATGTTTTACGGCGCAATAGACACAGAATTGGTAGTTAGTTATGGCGCCAGTGAGGACCTTGTTTTGATATAATATTTGGCTTCTGTTTGTTTCTGGCTTCTTTTATTTTGTTATTTCGGTGTTTTACGTAATAGAACATTTAAAAATGTTGGGCGGCACTGCACGACCGTGCTCTACGGACGAACCGCGCCTGATATATACACAGAGAGAGAGAGAGAGAGAGAGAGAGAGAGAGAGAGAGAGAGAGAGAGAGAGAGAGAGAGAGAGAGACAGAGACAGAGAGAGAGAGAGGGAGAGAGAGAGGGAGAGAGAGAGAGAGAGTGAGAGAGAGAGAGAGAGAGAGAGAGAGAGAGAGAGAGAGAGGGGGGGGGGTGAGGAGGACAGGGAGAAAGATAAACACAGAGAGAGGGGGGCAGGGAGGAGAGGGGGTGGGGAACGGGTAATATACCTCACGCAAACCGTTCCTCTCATCTCAGCCTGTTTCCTCCCTAACGGTGGAACGCGTTCTCCAAGATTAAACCACCCCCACACCATGCAGGTACTAACAACCGCGCCCAGCGATTCACCAAGGCCATTATTGACTCTATCATCCAATCAATAAACTCAACATTTCCTCCCCCGGCAGCCCCATACAGCAGCCGGCGCCAGAACTAACGTCTATAGCCAAATCTATTCAGCCAAGACTTCCCTAGCGGCAACAACACGAGATCAATCTAATTTTGTACGTCCTTGCAATCAAAATACTTGACAGTTTAAGATGACCGAGACATTACAACGGTTACGTCCAATTCTAACACGTAAAATTCCTAGAATACGTTATTGAGCGTTCTTCCGACAAACACGGGAAACATCACATGACGTTCGCTCGAGGCGAAGAGAAAAACGTTCGGATAAGTAGACAGTCACAAAAAGGACGCCCTCCATCACCAAAGGGGAAAGTGAAATAGGTTCTGATTAGTCCCTCAGAGAAAAACCAATCGAAATAATAAAGGGCAAGGAAAGAAAAATCAAGATAGCGCTCATGGATGGAACAGGGTTAGCAGGAAAGTAGGACGTACCAGAAATAACAGACTTAGCAGAGACGCAGAACCCTCAGCAAGTGGAGTTTTACTCAACCTACACATTAGTTCTTACAAGGTCACTACTCTAGACAGAAAAGGTCGACAGCCCATAAAAGTGAAGAACATTAAGCTTCGAGGACAATTATTACCGACGCAACCTTTGCCATGTAGATCACGGCGGCGGAAAAGAGAAAATGAAGGAACAGACTGCTTTGCAAAGCCTAGTTAATGGAAAAGATTAAAGCGAGACTAAGAAGTACAATGTTCTGATAGACTCTCGCTTCAAGATACAGCGTGTGATTTGTTGATTGGAATTGTGTCTGCATCACGAGGAAAAGAAGCAGAGTAAGGAAAACGGTCGAGAGGAGAAGGGGTGGGGATCCAATTAGTTAATACGAATGGAGATTTTGTTTTTACAAAACAAAAGTAAACTAAAAAGTAATTAGAGCCTGACAGGACCGAACGCTGAAATCTCTCGAGGAGACTGTGCTGTTCAGACATACATTTTTTCTGTTTCAAAGCAACGTTTTCAAAACATAACAAAGGCCGTTTTGATGACTCACTAGCCCATGTGCAGCGTTCTAGTGATGTACGACTTGCCGTTTTCCTGGAACATTATCCTCCTAATCCGATGTCCGGACTGGCGACAGATATACGAGGAAAATGTTCCAGGGGTGGGTGAGGAAAAGTCGCACACCACTTACACACTGAACTTTCGCACTTCGGCAAGCATCATAACGTCTTGCTCTTCAACTTCATAACTCCCCGCTCCCTTTTCCCGACTTGAAAGACCCAATCATATTCGGAGCTTAACAGCGAATATGCGCTGGTTTCCATGCCAACTATAAATAGGTAACTTTGAGGACAGTGAAGTGACGACATTCTTCCCTACATGATCCTAAAACAAGAACACTTAAGAGTACTGATCTTCACCACAGAAATCATTTCGACACGCTCACGTCGTCAGCAGTGCGTCAGAAAGTGGGTGATAGACTCACAATCCAGGGATCTCTCCTGGTTAGCGTTTAAGCATTGTTGAAGCCAAGTGCCTTGCCACACACACAAATGGCATTTTTTTTCGGAGGACGAAAACAATTATTTCTCTAAAGGGAAAAAAAGTTAAGTCCAAGTAAAATTTCCACTACGGGTTAAAAGATTCCGAACCCCAGTACATTTGAACTTAAAACACCATGTGCTGGTCAAGTTCGACCCCCCTTCATTCCTTCTCCTCAAAATCCTGGAACCAAGCCTAAGCCCACTTCTGTGAGTTACAACATTTATGAGGACAACCGTTAATTACGAGAGAAGAAACGAACACACAGTTTATTGACAAAAGTCGGCGCCCACCCTCCTTTCCCCTTAACGTCCTGGAACCGAACCTGAACCCACTTCTGACCGTTACAAAATTTATTAAGGCAACAGTTTATTATGAGGGAAGAAACGAACAATCGCCGTTTATTGACTTAAGTCGGTGAAGAAATATTAGAGCCACGGGGGCAGGGGACCAAGCATGGACTATGCCACAACATACTTTTTCTCCCGTCCCATTTTGCCATACATTCTCTCTCTCTCTCTCTCTCTCTCTCTCTCTCTCTCTCTCTCTCTCTCTCTCACACACAGAAGAGAAAAAAAGCGAGTGTGTGTGTGTGCGCTCTCTCTCTCTCTCTCAGAGAGGAGAGGGGGAGAGAGAGAGAGAGAGAGAGAGAGAGAGAGAGAGAGAGAGAGAGAGAGAGAGAGAAACAAGATAGCGAGAGAAAGGGAGGAGGGAGGGAGGGAGGGAGAGATAGAGAGAGAGAGAGAGAGAGAGAGAGAGAGAGAGAGAGAGAGGGGGGGGGTGGGGGTGAGAGACAGACACACAGACAGACAGACAGACAGACAGACAGACAGAGAGAGAGGCAGACAGACAGAGAGAGACACAGAGAGAGAGAGAGAGAGCGAGAGAAAGAGAGAGAGAGAGAGAGAGAGAGAGAGAGAGATAGAGAGAGACAGAGACAGAGACAGAGAGAGAGAGAGAGATTTCTCAGTCTTCTAAACGGGGAAATTCAGGCCTATCATTAGCAATGCCCTCGCGACTGGATTGGGGGATTCAGATTTGGGTGCGTCAGGCGAGATCTTGATTGGGGAGGTCACTCACAGTATGCCAAACCGATGACGGCTTAAAAGGGGAATCAATACTGATTCAAGGGAGAGACAGACAGACAGACAGACAGACAGACAGGCAAACGGTAGCCAAAGAGAAATAAATGAAAATATTTTTTAAAAGTTTCTTAATTAATATGAAGGCGTCTGTGCGCTTGTGTCTAGGGCTGGAGTAAGAAACCCAACATGAATCTTAACCTCCGTTCACAGATCACGTATACAAGTGGTGGAGGTACCAAGTGGTAGTATGGACATAATACAACCTAATATCCTTAAAACAAGCCGACTCGCGTATGCCCGGGTATAATGAATCAACAGCCTATCCTGCTATCATGGACGACACAGTCCACTGAAGAGGTATTCAATGTTTGAGTTCTCTCAAAAACAAAACAATTCTCTGGCCCAATGAAGGCAATCCCACTCTCGCTACTTTAGGAGTTGACGGGGAATATCGCCTGCACCACTTGTAAACGCGTTTGAATGGCTGAACTGAATGGAATGAAACGCGGCTCAGAAATTATTCCTACGAAGATGCACATCCCAAAACCCCATTCCATACATTCGAATGTCCCAGTACAATCAAGTCCAAAATACATCGGAAATTACGGCTAGGAAACCCATGTCTCGCCCCCTCATCCCCTCACCCACCTGGTCTGTCTCTTCTTCTAAATCGTGCTTAGCGAGACATTCAATTATTTCTTTAAGAGAACGAAAAGTTGGACTAACAACGGTTATATTATCAAAGCCCCCATAATCCCTGATGAATTAGCACATTCATTCATGGTCAATGAAGAGAGACGAAGGCAATTAGATTGATAGTCATCGATTGAACAAACACTCATTTCGTTCGCCTCGCACGACTGCAAAGGAAGAATTTCCAGTTCAGGTCATCTCGTTTAACGCCCAGCTAAACACATGATGATGGATCATATAATAGGCCGACTTACATAAGAAAATAAGGATACAAAAACATAAGTAAACCTTATCATGGAGTGTGAAAACACGCAGAACTATAGGCAAAAATAACGAACGGTTTGGATTGGAAGCTGAGCTGGAGTCCAAACATACGCAAGTTCAGAACATAAAATACACAGACAGAACAAGAGCGCCAATATTATATTTGTGTTCTCCTTAGAGCGAAATACAGTCAGCTCTGATCTAATGGCCACCTGTTCAAGGCATTGATCTGTAGAAACGACCACTACCCACTACCCACTTCCTCTATTGCGTTTTTAAAATATCAAACTGACACTCTCTAAGGTCTTAGACAACTACTTTCCTCTTCGACAATGGTTGGCCGTTTTGGACAATTTTGACTGTACTCTACTAAACATAAAGAGGTCATACCGAAGGTGGGGCACATGGTACACCTATTACGACCAGGAAGAAGTGAGAGGAAAGAAAGGCACAGATGTTATACACCAATGTGATTAATTAGTAAACACACCTGAGAATAGGTATTCGTGCAATATAGTCGTCCAGTGGAAGGACTGCACGTCATGCTGATGTTTAGTGTCTATATCACTATTTTTATCACGGGGGAGTGCAGGAGATGAGAACACAGTTTGTGAATCGTTTTCCTACCTGTGTTGAGATGTTTTTTCCGCCTCTTGGAGGGCGAGGGCTTGTGACCAAACTGCGCCTCTGTCTGCTGACGGTGGTGACGTAAAACTTTGGCTGTGGGCGACCAGGAGCTCTGGTCACTCTCCCAGGTGTCCATTCTGAAAGGGAATTTGGGAAAACAATGACATTAAGGTCACATTCAGTGCACCTAATGGCTCAACTAAATAACGCATCACCCCCTCCCCCCATTTTCCAACCCTGATATTTCAACGTAGCTTGATGAGCACACGCAACAATCGCCACTTAAGACGACACACTGGTGGAAGGCTAAACAGCGGTCACCTGGACATGGGCACCTGTTCCTCGTCTGTGCACTTCATAGAAAGGACGTTATTACTGATGGCTGGCCTTCATTGAAAGAAAAAAGAGGATTGTTATAGCTAGGGGCGGAGGGGAGTAGTAAATGACCCGGAACGCAGTGTCGACAGTCTAGAAATGACAAACTGCCCATGCGTTAAATTATAAAGCAAAGACGTTTTCTGTTTTAGTTTTAAATAAGCGTTTTCGGCATTTGCAACACAATTATCTCATGTAAGAGCCGAATATTAAAGGCGTTATAACAGAGCAACAAGCAACCCAAAAAAAAAAAGAAAGGAAAAAAAAAAAGGAGAATACGAACAACAGATACAGATGAACTACGGCAGGTTGCTGTACAACTTGAAGGCAAAGACCTATAGGGGCTTATACATTTATTCAACATATAATATTTTTGGGTGTATTTATTTATTTATTTATTGACCCACTATGACAGTAAGTTATGCAAACTCAACAAAACTCTTTTACAACGACCGTCCATCTGCGAAAACAAATTAGAGAAAACATATTATTATGGAAGTTCTCAACTGGGAACTAGTAATCGGAGGACATGGAGTTTTGGTCATGACCCCTATACATTATATCCCGTCAGTTTGGGGTAAAAACCTCCACAAAGACACAAAAAAAAGCCCCAACAACTAAACAGACAGTCAACAGCAAAATCGATAAGTCGCAAGTCAACTAACTTAAACATGTAGAATGGTATGGCGAAACCTCGTACTATCATATATATATATATGTATATCTCCCTCTCTTTC